CACCAATCATCAGCATCAGCATCAGCATCAGCATCAGCATCAGCATCAGCATCATCGTCATCATCATCATCATCGTCATCGTCATCATCATCATCACCACCATCAGCATCAGCATCAGCATCATCATCATCATCATCATCATCATCATCATCATCATCATTGTCATCATCATCATCATCATCATCATCACCATCATCACCATCAGCATCAGCATCAGCATCAGCATCAGCATCAGCATCATCATCATCATCATCATCATCATCATCATCATGCGCCCCAAGACGGCCCAAGGCAGCCCCAGGAGAGCTCCAGGACGGCTCAGGTTCGCCCAGACGGCACCAAGGTGGCTCACCCGAGCACATTCGAAAGAATTCTGCAGCATCGCCGCGACCACGACGGTCCCGAGACCACCAGCCAGACCCCGATGGGCCCTCCAGAGGACTCCGATGGGCCTCCGAAGGGCCCCGGGAGGCCCGAAAATTTGCCCCAATAGTATGTCCCCAATAGGCAGCGCAACAACCATGCAACATTACGGCCACACTCCACGCTACAACAGTGCAACGATGTTTCCCAAACGGCCCCAAAATGTGTCTGCCGGGCCTGTCGGGGGAAATTGGTGGAATCATCCTGCATGCTGCTCTTGCATGGTGGCGCTTTTCCGCAGACAGCTGGGCACTCTCCCCCCGCATTATGCAGTTTTGCCCCTTCCCCACGCTGCTCTTCTCAAAATCTCGAGCGCGATTCTGCCATCCAAGCTCCCGTCATCCAAACATGCACCGATCCCCATTGCGACGAGCCTGGATCTGCGCCACGGCTGCCTGTACTCGTAACTCTCGTCACGCTCCTTCAACAGATGGTAAAGTCCAGGCCAAGGTTCGAGAAGAGCCACGTGAGGTTCTTCCATCTGCTCAGATTTGACGCCATGCTTTTTCGATGCTGTGAACAAAGTTGTGTTGTCCTGAAGGTCGTCGTCATCAGAGAGGTCCTGACCTGACAGCATACTCTTGGTGATGTCGAACGCCTTTCTTTGGATCAAAGAGAGCTGTGCCTTTTCGCCCTTTGGCAAAATGCTGTTACTGCCAAATCCAACCAGCTTGGTGTCTTCGGTGATACTACATTTAGGCTTGTCAGACTTGTCAGAATCTGGTGCACTCCAAATGTCATTTTCAGTGTGCTTCCAGATGTTCCACTTGTATAAATCGCTTGCCCAAATGATCTTCACCTCCAAGCCCTTGTCCTTGTCGCGCTGGTACTTCACCAGCGCATGCTCGGCGTGGGAGCAGCCCCAGTACTTGCAGACGTCCTTATGGAGCCCCAGCACTGTTGTCTCGCTGTCGATGCGAAACGTGGCCTTGTAAGCGTCCCTATCATCTCCCTCGTCGTGAAGGCCCGTCTGCATCCGGTAGGTGACCACAACCGTGTCGTGCTCTTTGGTGCTATCACCACATGTGGCCAGGTCTACCTGCTCGTCACCACCAATCTCGTCGTCGCTGTCGGCAGACCCGACCGTCTTATCAGCACCCAGGGCGGGGACTCGCTTCTGGAGTAATTCCTTGACTGTCCGACTCACTTCTTGGTCCATCTGCGCCTCGCCCTTGTGCGTCGTCGACTCCTTGGTCCGCCCGGCCCTCTCCCTCTCCTTCTCCAGCGACTCGATATCCTCGGTGCAGTTCTGTAGCCTCGCATCCTGCTCCTGGCTCTTCTTGCGCAGCTTCAGGAGCTTGTCCCTGCTCCTGCCGAGGGTCGCCTGGAGGTTCTTGATCTCCTTGAGCATCGTTTAACCGATCCCCATCCCCACCAGCGTGGGCTGGGCCCCACTGGCCGATTTACCCCGCCGATTTACCCCCCTGGATGTAGGCTGCTCCCTTCGGGTTTCGAGGGGCAGATCCCCAACTGGGGTGGTGAGGCGGTGGGGCTCGAGATGGGGATGGGCATGGGGATGGGGATCGGTTAAACGCCACTGATCTCCTCTTGCAGGCCCTCGATCTGCTTCGTCTCGCCGGGGTCCTCGCCGTCGCGCGCCAGCATCGCGGGCGACCGCCGGGACTCGCAAGGAACCTGCCTGTGCCGGGCACTCACTCGGTCGAGCCGCCCCCGCGGGAGGTGGCCCAACAGATCGGCCCGGGCGGACCCCACCGAGAGCGTCTAAGCTCGAACGGGCGGCCGAGGCCCGGTCGAGCCGGGAGAGCCGCCAAAGCAGGCCGAGCCAAGAACACGAAACAGCCGCGCGCACAGGCGAACGCCGATCGCGCCAGGGCGACTGAACCGAACCCGTCGAGTGGGGCTCATCGAGTTGCTTGGCATGCCCAGAGAGGCAACCAAAACTGCACGAACATATTTTTCGGAGGTCCGCGCGGATTTCTCGGACCGGCGCCGGACCCCGCTGGCTGGGCGCCAGGGGCGGCGCCGGAGTCGCCGCCAGGGCCTGCAGGGGGACCCAGCGCCGATTCCAGAAATCCGCGAGGAGCTCCGAGGAATCATGTTTATGCGGTTGTCCAAGGCAGGACGCGGGCCCTGACTACCTACCAGCCCACCCAACCCAACCCGAAGACTCGAACTTCGGGTTGGGGGGGTACGGGTTCCATATGTGTTTTTGTCAAGATCCCCTGGCCCACCCCCCACTGGAAATGGAGGGCACATTGGGGCCTTCGGGTTGGGCTGGGTTGGGGTGGCCTGGTGGGTGGTGAGGTCCCGAGGGAAACGGGCCTTGGACCTCGGGGCCTTCCCGCAGCACGACCTCTTCCTCCCGAGTCGTTGCTGTGACGGCCCCGGGGGACCCGAGGAGGGCCTGTGGAGCCTGGGGCCCGGGCCCCGACTCCAGATCCGCCCCACTCTGGGCGACTTCGCAAGGGGGACGGAGATGTCCCTCCCACTCTTCCAGCGCCTTTGGCGTTGATGTCCGCCCTGCCTGGCCGCCGCTGCTTCCGCCATACTCCTGCGGCAATGTCCGCCTCATTGTCCGAGGCGGAAAGGTCCGCTTTATTTTTTCTCATCGCTCGGGGCGCATCTCCGACACACAGTGTAAAGCCCGAGAGCCAGCCAGAGTGCGGCGGATCCGGAGCCAGGGCGTGGAGCCCGAGCACAGTGGCGGACCCCAGGGCCCGTTTCCACCAGGATCTGTTCCCTTCTGTCCCACGAGGAGGAGGAGGAGGAGGAGGAGGAGGAGGAGGAGGAGGAGGAGGAGGCGGCGGCGGCGGCGGCGGCGGCGGCGGCGGCGGCGGCACGGCCCGCAGCGCGCAACCTCGGCGGACCCACCCAGCGCACGGCACGCCCACGAGCGCTCACGAGACGACACGGGCGGCACCACGCGACCTCGGCGGACCGAGCGCACGGTGCGGCCGTGCGCGCCCACGAGGCGGCGCGGGCGGCAATGTGCCCGGAGGCTCCCAAACCGCCATGGAGTATCGTTTAACCGATCCCTGTCCCCAGCGGCGTGGCCTTGGCCCCACTGGCCGATTTACCCCCCTAGACGGGGATATAGGCCGCTCCCTTCGGGCTTCGAAGGGTGTATCCCCAACTAGGGAGGTAATTTTGTTTGGGTCTCGAAGGGCCGGACCTGGAGGCTGGACCTCCATGCAGGAGGCGACAGGGCCTGAAAGCCTTCAGCATTGAGCTCCGACCTCTTTCTATCGCAGGCCTCTGATCCTCTGGGTGCTCTCCCCCCAGGCCCCCCGACGTCGTGATTTTTTGTCACAACGTCGACCCCCAGGTGTCTGGATCCCTTCCCCGGGACCGGTTTTCCATCCCGAGCCGCTTTTTGACGGCCCCGGGGCCCAGCTGGGGCCCCGAGAGGCTGAAACTAGCGAAAAAACTCCCGACCGAATTTTTGCCACAGCTCGAGTAGGAGATCGACTATAGAATTGATGTACCCTGAATTCGATTTGTCCGTCGAATCTGAACAGATACGTAGAGTGTTCCGTAGACCTACGGAGCTTTGAGCGTATTGTTTGGCGAGATTTGACGAGAAATCGATTCTGGGGCAAATCAATTCTGTAGTCGATCCCCTACACGAACCACGCGACGAAACAGTTTTTCGCAAGTGTCGGCCTCTCGGGGCCACTGCTGGGCCTCGGGGCCATCTACTCAGCCCTAGGAGGCCTAGAGCTGGGTCGGGCATGTCCTCCTACAGGCGGATTTTGGAAGAGAAATAACAAAAAGTCAAGGGGTAATCCGTCGACCCCTTATCGGGGGCGCGCAAACATGGATGAGCGATGATTTGGCGTGCGGTCGCCTAACCCATGGATCGGGGGAGGTGCCCTCCCCCAAATGCGGCTGGTGCCGCCTCGCTCGGCGGCGGAAATCCGCGATTTCCCATGGAAACGGGACCCGTCTCTAATCCACGCCACCTCAATCCATGCTTGCGATCGCCTGATTTAGGGTTCATCGGCGCGTAAGATGTTCCCCCCTCCCCAAACCCCTCCCCCGGGAGCCCGGTCCGGTCGACTTGGAGGGGCGGGGGGTCCCCTGGGATCCGTGTAAACGCATCTGGGGGGGGCAGAGGGCCCCCAAAAAGGCCAAGAGGGCCCCAAGAGGCCCTCGGAGCGGTCCACGAGGGCCACGAGTCGCTGAAAGATCGATCCAAAACGTGCACTCTGGCCTCGAGACGGCCCAAGAAGCCCCCAAGACGCCCCAAGAGGCGTCTCAAGAGGGCCTCCAGAAACGCAAATCGTCCCAGTCAATTTGGAAAGTGTGCATTTCTTGTGCATTCGCCTCCCAGGCGTTCACAACGTCCCAGACGACCCAAGAGGCCTTCAAGATCGCCCCGAGATGGGCCAAGAGGCCCCCGAGAGGACTCCAAGACGATCCAAGAGGGCCCCAAGACGGCCCAAGAAGCCCCCAAGACGGCCCAGGAGGGCCCCAGGACAGCACCAAGAGGGGGCCCAGAGGGGGAACACGACATTTCGAGTCTTCCACCCCAAGACGCCTCGGGCTTGCCCCAAGAAGGCCCCCAGGGAACCCCAAGATGGCCGCAAAAAAATAACCTAACAGGTCCCCAGGAGGCCCCCAAGAGGTTCAAATTATCCCGGCAAAGCAACCTAACAGCGATGTGTAGAAGCATATCTGAAAGCATTCCCCTTAAGATTCAGATGAAAATCCAGTTGTCGAATTCTGCTGTTCTCGCAGTCGTAGTCGCATTCGCGATGACAGTCGCAGCGGCAACGGCAGTCGCAGTCACAGCCTCAGCCTCAGCCTGCCTCCTCCTCCTCCTCCTCCTCCTCTTTCTCCTGCTCCTCCTCCTCCTCCTCCTCCTCCTCCTCTTCCTCCTGCTCGTCCTCGTTCTCGTCCTCCTCGTCTTGCTCGTCCTCCTCCTCCTGGTGCTCCTCCTCCTCCTCCTCCTCCTCCTCCTCCTCCTCCTCCTCCTGGTGGTCCTCGTTCTCCTCCTCCTGGTGCTCTCCCCCCCCCTCCTCCTCCTCGTCCTCCTCCTCCTCCTCCTCCTCGTCCTCCTCCTCCTCTTCCTCCTCCTCCTCCTCCTCCTCCTCCTCCTCCTCCTGGTAGTCCTCTCCTCCCCTCCTCCTCCTCCTCCTCCTCCTCCTCCTCTTCCTGGTCGTCCTCGTTCTCGTCCTCCTCGTCTTGCTCGTCCTCCTCCTCCTGGTGTTCTCTCCTCCTCCTCCTCCTCCTCCTCCTCCTCCTCCTCCTCCTCCTCCTCTCCTCCTCCTGGTACTCTCCCCCTCCTCCTCCTCCTCCTCCTCCTCGTCCTCGTCCTCCTCCTCCTCCCCTCCTCCCTCCTCCTCCTCCTCCTCCTCCTCCTCCTCCTCCTCCTCCTCCTCCTCCTCCTCCTCCTCCTCCTCCTCCTCCTCTTCCTGGTCGTCCTCCTCCTCCTGGTCGTCCTCCTCCTCCTGCTCGTCCTCCTCCTCCTCCTGCTCGTCCTTCTTCTCCTGCTCCTCCTGCTCCTCGTCCTGCTCCTGCTCGTCCTCGTCCTCCTGGTCTTGCTCGTCCTCCTCCTCGTCGTGCTCTTGCCCCTGCTGAAAATGTGGCCCAGGAATGGGAGTTCTGGGAAGTCGAAGAGCACGAAGTTGCCTACAGTTGGCTACGGGCATTCAAAATGTGGCCCGGGAATGGAGTTCTGGGAACTCGAAGAGCACGAAGTGGCCTACAGTTGGCTCCGGGCATTCAAAATGTGGCCCGGGAATGGAGTTCTGGGAACTCGAAGAGCACGAAGTGGCCTACAGTTGGCTCCGGGCATCCAAAATGTGGCCCGGGAATGGAATTCTGGGAACTCGAAGAGCACGAAGTGTGTGACTGTTGCATCCGGTTATTCTAAATGTGGCCCGGGAATGGCGTTCTGGGAACTCGAAGAGCACGAAGTGTGTGACTGTTGCATCCGGTTATTCTAAATGTGGCCCGGGAATGGCGTTCTGGGATCTCGAAGAGCACTTTGTGTGTGACTGTTGCATCCGGGTATTCAGAATGTGGCCTGGGAATGGAGTTCTGGGAAGTCGAAGAGCACGAAGTGTGTGACTGTTGGTGAAAAACGAGCCCGGCACCCTGCCGCCCGGCAACTCCCCAACACCTGCCCGGACCCCCCTGTGGAGTGATCTGTGAGCTCTTTTGAGTCAAGTAGAAACCTATCAGTCTTCGCTGTTAGGTAAAATTGCCTTCAAGACGCCCCCGAGACGCCTTCCACGCCATGAGCCATCCGAGCGGCCTCAGACCCGCAACCCAAGCACGGTGGCGGGATGTGCCGAAGGCCATTCGATCCGCCGCCCCCTTTTGCTTTAGCAAAGGGGTGCCTGGCTTGCTGAACTTCTTACGGTTTTGGTTTTGGTTCTTTTCCAAAAGAACTCTCCCAATGGGCTCCGGCGCGTCCCGCCGGGGTCCTGGGAGGCTCGCCCAGAGGTGGCTGCAAACGGTTTTCCTGCCCCTGACGGCCCCAAGACGGCCCAAGATGGCCTCCAGGATGCATCCAAGACGACCAAGATGCCCTCCGAGACGGCTAAGATGGCCCTAAGATGCCTCCAAGACGGCCCAAGATGCGTCCAAGACGGCCTAAGATAGCCTCAAGATGGCCCAAGACGGCCCAAGAGGCCCTCAAAAGGCCTCCAAGACGGCCCAAGAGGCCTCCAAGAGGTCCTCCAGGAAGGCCCGACGAGGCCAAAATCGTTGATTTCCGTTGGGTTTTTTGAAAGATTTTGGCATTTGCGCCTTTTCGGCATTCCGACGGCTTTCCGACGGCCCACGAGGCCCCTAAGATCGTTCCAAGATCGCCCAAGAGGCCTCCAAGATGGCCCCATGACGGCCCAAGAGGCCCCCAAGACGCCCCCAAGAGGGCCCCAAGACGGCCCAAGACCAAGACCGCCCACAGAGGCCCCTAAGACGGCTCCCGACGGAATCAGACGAGCCAGGAACGCCCCAAGACGGCCAAAGAGGCCCCCGAGAAGGCCCAAAAGGGCCCCAAGAGGCCCTCAAGAGGGCCCAAGAGAGCCGAGGATGGCCCAAAGATGGCCCAGGACGGCCCAAGAGGCCTCCAAGAGGGCCTCCAGGAAGGCCCGAAAATGCCAA